CTAATTGCTAACTACTTTACAATAAAAAAGCAATACCTCTATACAATTACAATTCTTACAAAAGGAGGGAAAATATTCAAATATAACATTACTTTTTTTTTAAAAGGTGAAATTTTTAAATTGGGACTTAAATCCCATTTTACATCAATTTAACTTGGGTGTAAAATAGCTAGTAGTACCACCCAGACATCTTGACCTCCAACCATTTGCTTCCACCACAAAACTACCTTCTTACTCCCTCTCCATGAAATCATATAACTTTTTCCCAAATTATGTATTTCCTAATTTTCACTAAAGAAGAAACTTCTGAAGAAACTCTTACTTACAGTGATGGACCTGAGTTCTAAAATGTGAGATTTGATCATCTGTCCTCATATGCATGAAATCAAGCAAAGATCAATGGATACTGAAAAGAGACCATTGCGTATTAAAACTGCAGGCTTTAGGCATACGTGTCTTGCACTATCAGAGGCAACCACATAACGAAGTATATGAAACTCATCCTGTTTTCCTACTGTTCATTGAATTCAATATAAAATAAGAATAGACCTAAAGACACTACATATCTTCAATTTCTTATTTATTTTTAATTTTTAATATCTTCTATATTTAAAACCATACTTGTTTTTCATGATGATAGAAGATATAAATAAAAAAATATTCCTTCACAATAATGGATGTTGGTTGTGACAACAAAGGTTAGAGATTATTCAGTCAAGACTATCTTTAGAGTATAGCAAAAATTGAAGGGATCTAAGTATAGAAAATAGCAACACTAGGAGATTCCTTACTATAGTGTGCAACCATTTCTATTGAATGAGAAGTGCACCAAGGGTATGTAAAAATTAGTATAAAGAAAGTAAATTGGTAGCTCCCTTTTACCCTCTGACAGCTCAAGTCAGAAGGTCTCCAACTCAATTAAAAAGGACCACGTCTAAATACATTCCTTTTGTTTAAAACTGAAACAATAAATCCACTTTGTGTTTGCGTGCATGTGTGTGCCATGTATAGTGTTTAGTACCACAGTGTACCAGAAGTCAGGAACTTAGTGGAATTAAAACACAATGAGACAGTCGCTTGGAAGTATAAACATTCACAGTTATATAAAATACAGAAAGATATCATATAAGTATATAATTATATAAGCATTATGCTTACATTAGCAACTATGCTAAATAACATAAGATAATCAGTAGTTGCCTACTATTAGGAAGAAATTTTCCTTCCAGGAAGATGACTTTGTAGTTGTCCAGTGTGGGTTACTTTCTGTACCTACCACTGAAAAATTTGGTTTTGTTACTTTTAGTCTGATTTGACTTAGCAGAGTCTTTAGCTTTACATTATTTATAGCCATATTTTATAAGCTTCTAAGTAACAACAACTCCTTGGATGGCCTGATAGGGGCTATTTAAAAGACCTTCAGTGCACAAAAGCCCTTTCCACCACTCTTACAGTGCATGGGTGAGGGAGGTCACAGTGGGGGCAAATTTAAGATGGCTGCAATTTACTTCTATTCTAAGGTCCCTTTATGTTACTAAAGTGATGTAAATGTTTAAGTAAGAAGCACATTTAAAATTACCAAATGAAAGGGGCTAATCTCCAAAAGCTCCCTGCCCGATTTTTGTTGGCACAGAGAGAAGTTTTTAAGCTGCTATAACTGAAAGGCAGAAATTGTCCTCAGCAAAAACCAGTTTCTAGTGCCACTGGGTCTACAGAAGAAATCTACTAAAATCCCTTGTTGAGCTTCACCCCTTTCTCTCCCATCTGCTGAAAACTGTTTAATATATTACACACTGTCTAAGAAATTTTCTTCTTTCTAACAGGATTTAAACTCTTTACTTTTATAAAATATTAAGAACAGGATATGTTATGAACTATTAAGCAAAATACATTAATATTTCAGGATAATATATGTGAAAGGAAATAAATCAGAACAATGCTTCAATGGTATCAAAACCAAATGAGAAAATCTAAGCAATTCACGTTGATATGCTCCCACTGATCATGGTCATCACACTGACACATCTCCTGTACTCCTTTTCATGCATAAATCAATCAACCCAAATACACACATCTATCAATGTGGGAACAGAAGTTCAACTCTTTGGCCAGTTTTAATGTGACTGCATGGCTCTACAGCAAGCTGAGGATACGGCCTTTTATAATCTAAAGGCATATGTGTGCTCTAAAATGATGAGAGAAGGCTGCCTCACAGGGGTTATCTGGTGAGGGTAAAGTGAATTGATCAAAACCAAATGAGGAAACGGGGATAAGTTATGAAATAATAAAATGCACAGACTGGCATTGTGCACAGTTTTTAGCCAAGAAGTAGCAAAAATGAAAACACACTACTCAACAGCAGCTTTTAGATAGTAACTTCAGTATAAAAATACTAGTGACATTAAACTAATTTGAGAAATTATAGCAGATGTAGATAGTGGCATTGCACATAATGAGGAAAATATTGTATTTTACCCTTTCCATGCAATTAAAGACTGCTTAAAATCTCTTTGAAGTCCATTTCTGATGGCTGAGATTGATACAAGCGTAACAGTTGGGAAGAAGAAAAAAGAAGAAACCTGAGGAATGTACTTAGGGAATGTTTGCATTTTGCTTGTGCTTTACTATTTAATGTTCTGAAGCTGCTCTTGTTAACTCAGGCCCCCATTCAGCAAAGCACTTAATCATGTGCTGAAATTTCATTGATTTCAGCGGGACTTAGGCTTTGGCTTAAGTGCTTCACTGAATTATATATTATTTTTCACTTTCTCTTACTTCTTTATGGAATTAATAGAACTACTCGGAGTAATGTATTACCCAGTGTAAGGTAAACTGTTGATTTTTAGAAATGTGACATAATACCTAACTGGAAACTTCACTACCATTTGACTAAAACAATTGATAAACTCTAACTGCGCATGATGTGAATTGCAGTAATAATAAAACTTTATTTCCCAAAAAGTTTTCAAAAAGGAAGGATGGAACCACAAAGCATTGATATTGCTAGAACTCCGTGTGATCTATGCCAATATAAGAATAGAGTAAGTCATTTGACTCTTTTAAAATAGTATTATTTTTCATCCAGATATGTTACAAATTAATGGAGAATTTATATATTGCGTAGGAAAAGAAAAGTTATATGTTACTTTTGATGAGGTATCATAACAAATACTCATTCATGTTACATTTTGACAAAATGTAAAGAAACTGATCGGCACACATGCATTCATATTAATTGCCATTCATATTTGCACTGCATTTTTGAATATCATTGATTCATCTGCAGCTACTCACCAATTCTCTGTTTAAGGAGTCCCTAAATTTTAAAGGCTCTAAAGTGCCTTTAAAGTACATCTACCCAGATGTACAGCAGAGGAGAATGAAGAGTGAACTGAAGGACTTCAATCTCTGGCAGGATTTTAACTTTTAGTTTCAACCTTCTGTCACATTTTGGGTGAAGAATGTGTGAAGGACAGTTCTTCCTGGAACAGCCGAATCCTTCTCTTATTCTCATGTGCCCTGCCTGATTTAATTTCTGTGTTTAATAGGAGAGACAAAGCTTTTGCTGAACTATTTCATTACCTTTTCTCCTTTCATACCCTGTTCTGGCTCAGGGATGCCCTGACTGCACTTGGGTTTCATTTCTCATGCCATCTTTCCTCGTCCTGTGGTCAAAAAGACGGTGCCAGTGAACCCTGGTAGTAAGAAATTATGTAGCTTAAGGAACAGGTGTGAACTGCACCTCCATAAGGAAGAAGGTTTGTTAGCACAGATGAGGGTAAACCCATTGGAGGGGAGATAAAAACAAGGATCCTAATTAGATCTATATAATACATGGTCAGATTTAATCAGCATGGTTTCTCAAAAAAAAAAAAAAAGAATAATCTTGAGCAAATTTGTAAGGTGGTACACATGAACGTTTTACTTCCAAAAGTTTTTGACAAGAGCTTGTATGGAAAAGAAGCAAAGAATTGTCACAGATCAAAACTGTGGCTCAGAAACAGAAAGTAAAGAGTAAGATGAAATAGCTTCTGTCATGGAAATGGTTACCAGCAAAGCATCTCAGCGTTCCACAGAAGGTTACATACTGTTTCATTAAGGGTTTGAAAAGAAAGTGAAAAGCAAGTAGAAAAATTTGCAGGTGACATTTTTTTCCCTGCTACATATAAGAAGGCTGTGAAAATGTAGGAATCACTGGAACGCAGAGATACAGGTTAAGAAAGAAATTAAATACTTGCATGGATAACAAGAATAACTAGTCATAATGATGATTTCAGTCACAAGGACTATATGAAGCAGTGTGTGGAATGTTAGCTTTAAAACTGTTTTGCTTCTTATATTTGAAATAACTCTTCAAGTTAAACTTATGGTAAACTTATGGTAAAGTATAAACAATACTTTATAAGAAAAATATTTACAAGGTAAATTGAGACACATTTATTATTTTAGATGATACAGTTTTGTAGTGTTAAAAGCCATACACAGCACAGAACCATACACAGCACAGAATTTTTTAAAGGATAATGTTTAATACCAGTCTAATGAAATACAAAACATTTTCACTATGACCCCAAATGAAAGTTTTTAGTATAGAATTCTTTTAATCCAGTTCAGTTCCTTGATCTTATTTTTCACACAGCTCTACCAGCAGTTGTGCCAGCACAACAGAAGGGATGGCACAGGGTGGGAACAGCAGCTGGCAGGGGGAGCAGGGAAGAAGGGGTCGGAACTGTATAAACTAACCTTGCTGCTAAAGAAACGTGTCCGTTACCAACGTCAACACATACAGGTAGTGCTGCTCCTCTTTACTGGAATTATTTATAGAAATACAGCTAAATGGGACAATTTACAGCTGCAAAACCAAGTCTAAATTAGTGAAAGTTACTAGCTGGAATTGTATTTTTTGATATATTATATAATACACACGCACAAAGTTAATTGGAAGAGATTACCAGCATGAAAATACTCTTACCAGTATTAGTCAATAGAGTAAGTGAGGTTCAGCTTTGAGCAAAAGACACACCTCTTGAAGAAGGAGGAGATGGGGAACTGAGGAAGCTGTCATCTTCAGGGATAGATTCAACAGCTGACAATGATTTGTAATACTCATCCTCTCCATCCAGCACTTTGATTTGGCTTGAAAGAAAACAAACAACATTTATTAAGTTAAAAAATTAATTCTGTCAGTATCTTCAGAAATAGAAACTTCTCTGTGGATGTGAAAATGAAGAGTGCTAATACAAGAAAGGAAAAAGAAAGACGGGATGATTTGATGAGAAAGATACAGCTTTTATACATACTTTGACTTTGCTATTACTTTTTTATGATTGTACTCTGAATGGTTCTGAGGATCAGTGAAGTGCAATATAGTCTTTCAGTTTGGGTGTACAGAATGATAGACCAACTATTTGCATCAAGTGGGCATTTCATTTGAGCAACGTGGCTTTTTTGTCTGTATATGTTCCACAAGTAGGGTATGATTTTGATAACATATTTCAGCTGATGGTTTGCTGTGAACATGAGCCAAAGACCACATCACCAATTTTTGGGGAAAGCCCTATTGACATCACGGGGCTTTCATTTTCCTGTGATGTACGATGAGCACTGCAGTCCCATGTTTGTGTTTTTATTCCCTGAACAGGAATACAGACTTTTTTAAACTAGGGGAGGGAGATAAAATAGACCAAAACTTGCGCAGTCATGCAAAATTTTGGGCTTTAACCTTGACTCAAAGACCTCCTATTCATACAGTTATATTCAGAAGATTAATTAAAAACAGAGGAAATAACACAGGAAGTTCTTGTACATTTTTGGAGTAGATGCATTTGCAAGACCAAGCATCCATCAGTTCTTTCTGGTCCATGTGATCAGTCAATGAAATATTTTGGCGACTGTGTAATAGTCAGCCTGGCTTTTGTAAATTGTTTTCAGTGATTTCTACCTATCACCAGGTGATAACTGCTCATGTGACAATGAATGAGAACTGACTCAGTTCAACAGAGAAGGAGCAACTCCCTTTCGGGCTGAGTGGCCTCTGTCAGTTCTTAAAATGTGCTCCCCCAGGAGGGCTGAAGCCCATTGTGAGTGTGCTGCTGCAAAGCTGGCAGGGCTTCTCTCCATGTTCTAGGTCAGAGAACTTCAGTTTCAACACCCTTCATCTGGCACCTTTCACTAGTGCTAAATGCACTTAAAAACATGAAGAAAGCTATTTTTTTGTAGCAGTAGTACTCGGAGAAAGCTGGGGAGCATATTTTATAAGAATCAGTTCTAGTGTCTGCAGACAGCAGTACATGCAAGTTTTACATTTGCTTCTGCAGAAAATGTCCAACGTCAATGCACAGAAATATGTTAACTGTTTATTTTTAGAAACCTCTCTAGAAAGTTTTGCATATTCTGTAATATCACAAAGGACTTCTTCTGTTTACAGTTGCTTAGAACTAAGAAGATAGATATTTACCCAAGTTTTCTTGGCTTCCTCTTGCTCCCTTGATATTCTAGAGTTCCCTGTGGAGAGGGCCAAGAACACACAGTCAAAGCAAAGCAGCAAGTCGTTAATTTTTAATTCAAAGTGATTTTGTGTTGAATGCAAGCAGATGCTGATAATATCAGAAGTCACAGCATAATTTTTTTGATCAAAGGGCTCAAGTGAGCCTGATGAAGCATGCATCTTGCTCGTCTTTGATAAACCACATCAATTATTCACCGTGAAGGCAGACATCCTGACATGAAAGCAACAGATAAAGAGCATAAGCACATGTTCAAGACGAGAGCAGAAGAACGTGGGGGTGGGGCTGGAGGGGCTGAAACAGGTATTAATAACAGAATTATTAACTGGAAACAAAGCCAGTAAAACAGCTTTATTGCCACTTTGAACTCACATTTAACTGGTTATAGTACATGTTGTCCTCAGGGCTATTCAGCATTTTGGGCTGCTGACATCGTCGACGAGGTGTTCTCAGCTTCTGTTCAAGACAGTTTTCTGAACCTACAGTAAGATAACACAATTTAGTTTTAAACTGTGCCAGGTGCTGTGAATGTCTTAGCATATTTTAGTCTGTAAACAGTCTTTTCTTCTGTCCTATTTGGTCCTGGATTTACTAGCAAGTCTGTCCTATCCAAAGTAAGCACACAGAAACATGGGGATCTTTGTTTTCTCTTTTGAAACTTAGTTCAAACACAAGGTTTTAAGCAGACCTTCATTTTTACTTTTATAACATTTTTTATTCTTCCATATATCTGTATCACACAGCTCCTTATTCCTTTCACACTTTATCTTAGTATCTTTTGTTATCTAAGCAGGAAATGAGGTATATTGTGACTAGCTAGGGATATATCATTCATCAGTAGCAAAACTGTTTTTCTACAGTAGACAGTAATAAAGCTTTTTGACTGATCAGACTTAGTCTATTATCATCATTTTTATTATATAAAAAGGCTACCTTCTTGACATGGCTCTCTGTTTAATCAGAGTAATCGGACCTGTTTGGAATTATGCTTTCTTAATATAATTTGTGATGTGCTGTAAAGTAACAGTTGCTTAAAGTCATCTGGAAAGCAGAGTTTAAAGATGAAGGAAATATTTCAGAAGGGGTGGATTCTGAAAAGAACTAACAGCCTTTTTATTCCTTTTTTTTTGTATTAAGGAAAACAGACATTATGGTGTGCTGTACTCTATTTTACCAGGTGTTTTCTGTGGCACATCCTCTAGATTACCACAACAACTGTTTTCAGGATAAATCAGAATCACTAGGTTACTAAAAGACACTGTGGGGGGTAAGGAAAGGTCATTTACTTTTCAGATAATTCTCCCAATGCCCTTGACTTTTCTGATATCTCCCTGTTAAAAATTATTTTAGTGACAGTATGAATAAGAACAGTTTTTGGTGGCACTGAAGGAAAAATATACATCTTATCACATTTGCATTCCACACTGCATGGGAAACTTGCTCCGATACAAAAGACCAGCACAAAGATCAAGTAGCACGAGTTCCTTTAAACACTTCAAAACTGAAGTCAATATGGCTTGTGCGAATGCAAGGGCTCTAATCTCACAAATCCATTTGTAAGATCTGGCCTTAAGGAGCAGGTAATATTACAAAGGAGGTTTATTATACACCCAGGTTTACAGTTTGCAACTATTGTACTTTTCTGCAATTACTGAGTGAGGTAGAGGAGGTGGCTGAACTTCGGCCTTTTCAGCCAAATGACTGACTGTTCTGGGAGATTTTCTCTCTTTCACTGTCTTTCTCCCTCTCAACAGTAAAATTTGAAAGATACTAGCTTCCTCTCAGGATGGGACTGCAATGTCTGTGTGGGAGGGGAGCACTTGTTTCGTGCCAACCATCGTGTTCCCTCACAACACCTGGGAGGGATGGTGGGTTAAATGGCCACCAGGGAACTGACTGCAGAGCTGGGTCTAAAATTCAAAAACAATTTTATAGAGAAAGGTTACATTTCTCCAGTAATACAAAATAACTTTTAAATAATATGCTCATGCTGCTTGCTAATTTCATACCCAAAGCTTCAATGCTTTATACTTTCAAGTTCAGTAAACCTTTATATTTTCGCTAATGTGACGGCTGAGCCTGAACCTTTGCTACTTACCTGTATTGTATATAACCAGACAAGGCAGAAGCTGTTCCAGAAAATGCTTCTGGGAAAATTGGGTGCCCAATTTGGGCAAATATGCCCAAAGTCATATCTATGTCTTTGGAAAGTTTTTTCTCTAATATTTAGATAGGACACAGGTGCAATTTTGTTCTCTCTGAAGTCTCTGGAAGTTTTGCAGAAGACCTGCCGTAACTACATTCTACTCTCTGTTTGCTCTGAAAAGTTACTCAAATTGACCTTAGAGCTTTCTGTCTCAGGACAGCAGGGTCTGCAATTTTTGCAAGCAATGTTTTCAGTTGCAAGGCCATGAGAGTTCCTTTTTACAGCAATGTAGTTCTTGAATACCTCTCCACAAATAATTTTTTTATTCTAGCAAGAGGCTGGTATGAATGAAGGCTCAGGTCCTCACGGTTCTGTGTAATTTCACACACCTCTCTGCAGCTTGCCAGAAGTAAAAACACAGCACACAAATATTTAGAAATTTTCAAACAGTATGATAATATGATGGGGTATTCATTTTTCCTTTCCCCCAAATGCTGTCGTGGCCTTCATCTCTGAAGTCTCTAGAAGTTTTGCAGAAGACCTGCCGTAACTACATTCTACTCTCTGTTTGCTCTGGAAAGTTACTCAAATTGATAGTAGAGCTTTCTGTCTCAGGACAGCAGGGTCTGCAATTTTTGCAAGCAATGTTTTCAGTTGGGCCATGAGAGTTCCTTTTTACAGCAATGTAGTTCTTGAATACCTCTCCAAAATAATTTTTTTTATTCTAGCAAGAGGCTGGTATGAATGAAGGCTCAGGTCCTCACGGTTCTGTGTAATTTCACACACCTCTCTGCAGCTTGCCAGAAGTAAAAACACAGCACACAAATATTTAGAAATTTTCAAACAGTATGATAATATGATGGGGTATTCATTTTTCCTTTCCCCCAAATGCTGTCGTGGCCTTCATGTTATTTTTTCAAAACACCTATATGTATAGTCTTTGTTTTTAAAATGTCTTTTATTCATTAGGATTCTGAGACACTAATATATTGCGCTAGCTTTTTATCCTGACACTTAATTATTTCTGTGTATTCTATGGGTGGTCTGCAGCTTGTGTCCTCCAAAGGAAATACCCTTTCAGTGGGTCCATTTGTCTTAGTGTTTAGTAGCATACTACACGAACAGTACAAAATCTGGTAACATTTATCATAAACTACCATATCTGGAGAAAACGGTATTAACATGTGCTCAACACTCAGCAGTTGAATAGGCATTTTAAACGCTGTTCTAAAATATTTTGCTTTGATGACAAACTTAAAGCCACCAATAAGAAAAAAAGTCACTTGCCATTTTAATAGCAATAGCAGCAGCACCAGTATCATTAACAGGGTATTGTCTACAGTGCACCCAAATTGTGCCAAGTGCCTCTGGCATATCCAGGCTCCTGAGTTTCCTACAAATTTTGAGACCAGATGCGAGAGCGAGAACATGCACTTCCTTCAGGTTGTCCTTTAGCACGGTTTTTTAACGGTGCCCCCCTTTTGTCTGGAAGAAAACCTTTCCTTTGTAACTCTAAGCACAGAAATTTCTCAGGTTACAATTTCTTTATTGGTAAATTCCTTACCGCAGTGCAGAAATAACACAGAGTAGGCAAAATGCCTTCTGGCAAGTGCACTATGTCAGCTGATCTAGCAAGTGTAGGATAGCTGAGGTTCTGGGCATCCTCCTCCTTTCCTCGCTCGAACCCAGAGAGGCTGATACACATGGGTGAGCGGGCTCATGTGGATGCTTCCCTAAAGCTACCACAAAATTGATGTTGCTTACAGTGAAGGGAATTAGAAACTGACAAATGGGTAAATCTGTTGGAGTATAAAGTATTTATAAGTAAACAAACCGATGGCATTTCTGTTTACTCCTCTATTACCACTACTGGTTATCCTTTTTATTTCTCTGATACATAAGAGCCCAAGCCAATAGACCAGGACCTTGCAGCGCTCAGACAGATTAAAAAGACGTGTGTTTTGAACTAAATGCAAAATCAAACATCCGAGTTACATTTTTAAGAACTGGGAATTGCATAGTTGGAAAGCAGTGTCTCCAGGAGAGACTTGGGAATCATCACAGATATTCAGCTGAATATGAAGTAGACTGGGTGCAAAGCAGAGGACTACTCAATAGAAATAGGAAATCAGTTTTATCGTTGAGTGCAAAATTATTTTAAAGTGGGTGCTGTAAACTGCAGAATGTTTTGAGAACAAGAACAATCTGAAATCTGGAAAACCTGCCATATGGTGAGAAATTTAAGAAGACTGTTCTATTTCATTTTTTTCAAAAGAAGATTAAGAGAAGATCTGAAGCAAGTCTAAACCCCTGCATAGAAGGTGGAGGGCTTTTCACCTTCGGAAACAAAAGTCTGAACTGTCTCATGGTCAGAAGTGGAAGAAAATTTCAGACCAGAAATACAGCACATAGTGAAAGCAATCAGTCAGGAGAAAAAAAATATTTAGCAGTATGATGGAAGCTCAGGTTGAGATTGGAAGCTTTTAGAAAAGGTATGTTTTGACTCAAGCTAAAGTTAAAAACTATTCAAGATATGACATGGATCACTTCTAGCTTAATATGAACTCATTTCTCTAATGTGATTTTTATCACGAGTCTCAATCTGCAGAAGATTTTGTATTGATCTTTTGATTTCTGGGATATACTTTCACCTCTGAATTTCCATGTGATTCTTCTTCTTTGCTTTCTTATGGCTGAAATGGAAATATTTTTCTTCAATTAGCCATCACATCCATCATACTGACACTTTTTATGACATCTTTTGGCTTGGAGATGATTAGCACATTTCTTATGCCATATCTTATTTAAATGATTTTTCTGTTTAAAAATCCCTCCTTTCCATAAGCGGCAAAGGACTCTTTCAGAAATGCACAAACTGCCAAACAGTAAGATTTAATGAAAGACTTCAAAATGCTCTTTAGCACTAACACGAGGACTTTTGCATCTAGGATTTGGGCCCTGACCAATACTTTCAAAACAGTACCTGCAAAAACATATTTTTCTAATGACTTCCCATGAGGCAGATGACTTCACTTGATATTCAGTGAAGATCTCATCTTAGATGTCCTGTTTCTCCTGCTTATCTTGATATTGAAAACTTGGGGACCAGGCACTGGGCACATTCTTCAGAGGAACTGAGAATGATCAGATTTTGCTCTCTGAAATGAAGCTAGGGTCTTCATAAACTGTTCATGATTAAACCCTTGCTTCAAAAACCCCTTGATGCTGATGACCTCGCCAAACATTGCTAATTTTTCCTACATGGAGAATTCTGCGGAGAAAATGGTGATGAGGCAGCTACAACTGCATTTGGAACTTGTAAAATCCACTGAT